TGCAATTGCTTCCAGATTTCAGATTTCAACACAATTTCCAATAGATTTAGGTTGTTTTTCATCATTCCAATAGATAGACTAATTCATGTATTCGCTTCAACAATTTTGTTTCATGTAATGAACTTCAATTTTTCAAGTTTGTTCAAGGTATTGTTCTTTTTCTATCTGTAATTAATTTAATGTTTATAATAAATAGCATTTCTTCAATGATTACTTACATCGGGTTCGTGCTTCCTCTTAATTTCAAGCATGTTAATTTATTCACTGTTCATGTTTAATTTTAATGTTAATTAGGGTTAATTCTTTAATTCTGCAGTAGTTTAATTTCTAGATCTATCAGTGGATACCATTTTAATTTAACAATGAACACGTTTAATTTAATTTGGGTACAGTTTTTTCTCGTAAATTTATTTTAAATTGCATGCTATTTTGTTTAATTGGGATTTGTTAATTTTAAGTCACGGTAGTGTTTAAGTCCTTGCAGTTGTTCAAAGCAGACTTCGTAACCCATTTTGTAAGAAGGTATCCCTCCCTCTTGCAATCGTTTGTTGGCACAGCTTTCAATTTTAATTCAACGTTCTTTTTGTCATCAGTAAGGAGGTCGACTGTGAGGAAAAAGAAGGTTGTTAGAAAATTTCTCATTTCTTACTTTCAGTAAAGTAAGTGGTACGCCTGCATTCAGATTTCACACGTGCAAGCCCACTAGAGAATTTTTGGAGAAACACTAGTACATAAAGTATGTTGTCTTTCATGGAAACTGATTGACAATGGATTGTCCAACTGTATATAGTTAGGGCTAATAATTAAGGAAATTCAATTTTAATTTTCTTTTAAAACATATATTAGTATAAAAAAATGTAGTATGAATTTATGATATATTTGATGTGAAAAAATATAGAAGAGATTCAAATTTGAAACATTCTAAAAGCCTCAACATGTTTTTTAATCATTTCATGAATGCAAATTTGCAGTTGTGATGAACATTTGATTATTTAAAGATTTATTTCATGGCTATATATATTGAATTGAACATGAAATACATCTCAAGGATCTTAATCACTATCATTCTTTTCTTTAATCAATGAATGCTCCTAGCCCTAGTCTCACATGACCAACCATACTTCTTCTAGATGATTTCTTAAGAAATGTTTGCATATATTTATTGAATCTCGACTCAAAAGAGATATTAATCCGACAAAAGTTAACATCATTGTCAAAAAAAAAAAGAAAGAAAAAAGAAAAAGAAAAAAAGTATAAGAAAATGTCATATCGTAAGCCCAATCCAACTTTTTGTTTGTTGGTCCATACAAGGCCCACAGATTAGATCATAGTCCAACTCGCACTTTCTGGCCCAATATCTTTCACGTGTGAGATTAATTAATTATTTATTTATTTTACCCTCTTACTTAAAAATCCTTTTTCTTTTTTTTTTCTTTTTTTTTTTTCATAAGGGAAAAAAATAAAAAATAAAGACCATTTTTTTCCCCAATTCAAAACCCTAAACCCTGGTATTCTCAACCCAAGCACAAGTCATGGACCAACGATCTTCGAATCTGCTCGACGAAGCCCTGGGACTGGACTGCCAGACGGACCGGTGGGCTCTTGCAGGGCGAGTGGTGGCGATAGAGGACTCCGTCGAGACCAGTGGCTCATTTATCCTTCACCAACTCGTTAAGCGAGCGCTTGCTCCAAATTCCTCTACTGTTGTCCTCTTCATCGCCTTCGCGCAACCTTTTTCTCATTACGATCGCATCCTCCGCAAACTCGTAACTCTCTGCCTTATTCATTCTGCTTTACATTAGGAAGGATTAATCTCTAGTTTATGTTGTATGATTCAAGGACGTTGTTAATAGTGTATTTGGTTCTGTTCCTTGCTTGGAAGTGAGTGTGCTCTCTTTTGTTTTAGTCTCATTGTGAAAGTTACACCTCAGTATATTGCGCATTTAGAAAGTAAGAAAATTTTGGAGTGTCTTGAATCTGGGAATTATGGGTTGCTATTGCATTTGATGGAATCTGGGTTTTCTAAAATTGTTTTGGATGAGCTTACACTCAATGAAGTGGTGTGCTTAGGATATGGCAGTCAATCCAGATTTTCATTACATATGACAATGGAGCAATCCGAGTAGATGCCTTTTGAATTTCTGTTGGGTTGAGCGTTTTGAGCTTTGAGGTGGAAATGTTAAGTGAGAGTTCTTGCTCCTAAAAATCTGTAGATGAGGCGTGCACTTGACTATTTTTCTTTATAGAACCTTGTTTATGTTGTTTATCTTCTAGTCTACTTGCTGTTGCTAGTAAACTAGTGAGATTTTCAAGAATTGGGTCATTGGGGGTAACCATTTTTGGGTTTGTTGTTGTAACAGGGATGCAACTTGGCTGCACAAAGGGTTAACAATAGATTCTTTTTCTTTGACAAGCTTACACTGCAGTGTCCAGGTGAGAATCAGGTAAAATTGGTTCAGTGCCTTTCTCGATTTGTAAAATTGGTTCAGTGCCTTTCTGGATTTGTAAAATTTAACATGGGTAAAAGAATTATTTTAGAGTAGCTGGTATCTTGCATGGGGTTAATCTTATTATGAAGCTTTTGCTTGTTTCATGATTAGATGTGGATGAAAGAAATTCTCCTGTAAGTGGACTTGTTGCCTTGTATGGCGAAATTCAAGAAACTATTTATGGTTTGCCGGAGGTCAGCCGGAAAAATGTCACCATTATCATTGATGATTTGTCTATTGTTGAGGTTGCTGCTAATGGCTCTTCAGATTATGTCTTAGACTTCCTACATTATTGCCACACTTTAACATCAGAATTTGTAAGTCAATTTCCTCTCGCTCTTCCTTGACACCTCAACTCTTATTTGGTCATGCAACTTCTTACCTGCTGTCTTGTCACAGGATTGCACATTAATAACACTTAATCACGAGGATATCTATTCAAGCACGGAAAAGCCTGCATTTTTGTTACAGACAGAGTACCTTGCAGACATTTTGATAAAGGCAGAACCTTTGGCTACCGGCTTAGCCACTGATGTGCATGGGCAGGTACTGTATTTTTCTGTAGATTAGTTTTTTTAATTAAAAAAAAAATGAAGAGTTTGTTCTGTGGCTTATGCATTTGATATCATAACATCTTCAATTCTTCAGATAGCATTAACTTTGTATCAGTTAAATTGTTTTGCCATTAACTTAGTTATCTTTATCGTGTTTCAGTTGACAGTTTTGAACAAGGGCTTTAATCATGGTCAGATGAACTCAAGAAACAAGATACGCAATTTCCACTTTAGAGTCAAGGAAAATATGGTTGAATATTTTTACCCAGGAAGCCGGAATTAGGGGAGCGTGTGATCGTAATTACAGAAAGTTAGTCTCACGTATGACTCAGATATTTTTGTGGTCTTGTAATGATCTAATCTGATGAGGTCAAATTTGCTATTTGGTTTGTAAGAAAATGTTGGTGGTTTTATTATTATTAAAAAAAAATAACATCCCACATTTCTGCAGAAGATTTGCATCTTCAATGGGTATCTTCTTCGTTAGCCAAAGAAAAGAGGTTTCTTCTTCTTCCTCCTCCAAATACTTGGAACTTCATTTCGTAGTTCCCATTATGTAGTAGTAACAAACGATGAATAAATGATCTAGACATGACAGTTGACCCTCTTTTTTAAACGGGTTAGATTATAATTCACAAATTCTTAACAAGAACAGGGTACGATGACCTTTTCTAGTAACTCACAGGTGAAGCAGGTTGAGTCATAACCCACGACTTAATCACATGGGTTATGTGACTTCTTCTAACAAGTGAATTCTTTGACCAGAAACCCACCAAGCCAGACCACAACTCAACCCAAACCCAACCTTTACAAGTCTAAGCGTTTATTTGGATAAAATTTAATGAAAGGAAGGGAAGAAGAGGGAAAGAAAGAGAGAGGAAGGGTAGAAAAGAGAAGAAAGGAGAAGTAAGGAGAAGGAAAAGATTGATATTAATTTTATTTAGATAGATAAAAATAGAAAATAAAGAATGATAATATGTTTATTTAATTAAATAATTTAAAGAAAAATAAAATAAAATATTTAAAATTATTTAATTAAAAATTTTATATATTTATTTTTTTTAAAAATTTAAAAATTAAATATGTAAAATCAAGCTCTTGTAATCTCTCCATCCAATTTGAAGAGATAAAAAACAAGAGTGAAAGGACTTCCATTAACTCTTCCGTTAAAATAGGTAATATAAATATGAGAACGAGACGTTTCACCTTCTTTCTCCCTACTTTCATTTCCAAATTTCTTAATCCCAATACACTCTAAATGATAATCTAGGACTAGGAATTAAAAATCAAAACCTCACGTGAATTGAAAAGATTACGTCCCAGGAATCCTCCAAAAAGTACTGGGGGTTGGCCGAGTTATTTGGATATCGTGGGACCGAGTCCTCATGGGCATCGGAATAAACAGCCACCGCCCTGCCACGTGACAAAAAGCGAAAACAAAAGGCGAAAAACAGAGGGTGAAAAGACAACACAAAGTTCTTCTCTTATCTTTTGTGGGCAATTTTTCTCCTCCCACCTTATAGGCATCTGAGTATTCCTTCCTTCTAATTGACCATTCTATCCGTATACCTTCCCTTGATATACCCAGATGATCCAAAGCCTAAATTCAAGAGGTAATGAAGCATATTTTTTTCCACCCAGGTATGAATTTAAAACTTCATTCCTTGGAGTTGTAGTAGTCATGATATCTTGGAAGGTAATCGTTCCTTCTGTAACCCATACTTCCTGCATACAACATTGTATATATTGTTTGAATGGGAAGATAATAGCACCTAAATATAACGGTTTGTTATGTATAATCTATCATACCAGAAGAAAGGAATATGGAAAGAGAGGTGCATATAGGAACCAACAACGCATCTGGAAGCAAGATTTTTAACAAACAACAAACTGCAGCATGAAAAGGCTAACCTGTCAGGGGTTACTACCTTCTCTGCAGTACTAATACTAGTAGTAGCTAAGTAGTAGCAACAGCAGTGTCGATATAGGTAACACTTAACACAATACAGTTCCACACTTGGATAACACATACAGTCTCTTGTCGATATAGTTAACACAATACAGTTCCACACTTGGATAACACATACAGTCTCTTGTTATAGGTAACTCTTTACCACTAGATTTAGGTACCATTCGGTGGAGAGGTGTCTGAAAGCTCGCACCCCATTTGATCTAAAGAACTAGATTTGCATTGCGAGAAGAGGAAGGGGGTAAGCAATGTGTGTCCCCGTTATTGTTTTCAGGCACATGTCGCACAAACTGTCCTCGTAAGCGTGGCCTCTGTTCAGCCAGTTTCTTCCTACTGTGGTAGCGGACCTGAAAAAGTTGATGGTATTAGGTAGACATTTTCCTGTAAATTTTCTGTTCCAAAATAACTGCCTAAAGTTGGCCACACAAAATAGTAATAATAATAACTGCCTAAAAGAAAGGAAGTCACATCTCCATGATTTTAAACTAGATGTTAGGAGATGAGATCCAATAAAAGGCCTCACTAGATATTTCTCTTTGTTGGATGAGGTTACCTTCTTTGTGAAGCATCTTTGTTTTCTCTTCTGCCGGAATTTGTTCAAAGCAAGTTCTCTTTGTGTGGAACGGTTTTGATTAACACAACTGCTCCTGAATCCAATTCCACCACCAGCTCCACCTTTCTCGGGTACTCCAATTCCACTTTCAATATTTGTAACTCTGGTATTTAAAGCAGGGCCATCCCCATTCTGTCCATTACTCCCGTGGTTACTTCCTGAGGCACTTCCATTCAAACTGAAATTACAAGCATTGCCTTCCAGATTTGGTGCGCCTGATAGATTAGATGATCCGCACTGGGTAGCTGCTGCTGCCGTATTTTGTGAAGGGATATTGTCATGGTTACCTAGCTGCTGATGCTTGGGCATGTTATGGACAAGATGGTGGTGGTGATGATAATGGTGATGGTGATGATAATGGTGATGGTGATCCTGCACTTGTACCTGCTGGTTCATGCCCCTTGCTTGAACCAACGTCATGTTAGGTTTTGCAGCATCACTCTTACCTTGTATGACAGGCTGAGGGGCAGATACACGGCCATTCTGCACTGGTCGAAAAGCAGAAGAGGGATGAAGAGGTTTGATTACACATTTAGGTGTTTGCCTGTCACTGAACCCTGCTGGTTTAGTGAATGCATTGTTAGTAATGAAACCCATGTCATTATTGTTACTACTCCCACTGGACTGCTGTTTTGGAGGCATGCTATTAGAGTTAGACTGCAAATTCTTCATTGAATCTGTTTTGGCTGCCTCTGAGCCATTATCAACAGGAGAACAGCAATCTACATTCCCAGCTGGAGCCTGATTAGCGGTTGAACCAGAATTATACCTGCAAAAATATGAATTCAATGGTTAAAGGGGGGAATTTGCATTAAAAAATATCAATATAAAATTCCCAATACCTAGAGAAGGCTGAAAGGTCTGTATGTCTTAAAACATTCCGTTCGCAGGCATGGGTCAGTGTATCTCCAACATACCTCAACCTCTTTAAACTGAGTTCAAGGGAAGGAATTTCTTTACCATCATACATGAGCTTATCTTGTGTCATCATAACTCCCTTTCCTTCTTGTTAGGTTCGAACAAATTTAGACCCATTGATATATCTCTTGCGAAAAAGTTATAGAGAAAACTATGAATAAATAGAATTTTTTTGAGGGAATTAGAGGTGGCCCCTGGTCCTTGGGAATCATTTCACTGCATATTTTAGGTATTTATTTTCGAGATTTTACATTTATGAGTGGTAACCAATGTTTTAAGGATCAATGAAGGCAAAAAAAAAAAAAAAGGGTCAAAGGCACCATATGCTTTTTGTTCACCAATAAAAAAAAAAAAAACTACATAAAGAAAAAGCATATGCATCATAATAATTTCAACTTTACAGACCCATGACTATCCAACATAGATCCATCTCCAACTTCACCAAGTGACTTGCGACCGATCGTGCGCTTCATTGAGAGAGGTTGGATGTTCACCAGATCTGGATATCGAATTTTCAACTGCTAATAACTAATAAAACTAATTTACTAATCATTATCCTTGTCAAAAAAAAAAAAAAAAAACATAGATCCATCTCAAACTAAACTAGCTTGTATATTAATATTTCAGTTTTGAATGGTATATACTAATTACTAACATCAAGTTTGAGAACAAAAGTAGATAACTTTACAAAATGAAAATTTGCTTACCTTCATACCCACAATTTCGAAGTAAAGCAAACACAACATGGCGAGTTGAATCATCATTTTCCACCGGTAGAACCTTCAAAGTCCTTTGAGGCAGAAATCTCTCCTAGCGAACTGGATCAGTGCCATGAGGCTGTTACTGGATAGCCTGTCCATTGGCCTGGACTTGAACATCTTCCATCTTCCCATCATCATTTACATCTTCCAAATCATCATTAACTCCTGACTCATCCTCCTCTGACAGAACCTGTCTCTCTCCAGTGACCTCAGTCCTAATTTGCTTTTGCTCATCTTGCATACGATTAACTAATAACACCAATCCATTGGTCAAAAGACCAGTCTCATTCTTCATCTTAACTGTCCCCATCAACCAGATTCAAACACACCAATTTTGTGGATTGTATCTGTAGCACATAAATTTGTCGAGAAAACCTCCGCTTGTCCAAAATCGTGCTTGCACATCCCGTCTCCAAACACAGGTCAAGAAAATCTCAAGGAAGAAACAAACAGACTGTAACAAAACGAAAATTTCAACTTCCAATTCGACATAAATTTCAAAGAAATAAAGTAAAAACCGAAATGAAAATTAAGAACACCGCTCCTGAAATCACCGGAATACACATTGAGGAGAAGCAGAACAAAAATGGAAAAGCAAGGTTTACCTTGATAATATTATTTACGTTGATTCAAGCGGCAGGAATACGAATTTCACGCTCCAAGGAGGAGAAATTGGAGCTGAAAGAAACGAAATTCGGGAATTACAGGAGGAAATTCTCTAAGGTCTGTTCGAAAAGATTGGAGCTTTACTGGTTGAGAAACTGCGAAACTAAGGGGCGAGGGAGGGGAGGAAGAAATATACGTGGAATGAGCTTCGGGTGCTGAAGTGGACGAAGGGAAGGCGTGGAGACTAGACACGTCGGATTAACACGTGGTTACGTGGGGAGGGGGAGATCTAAAGCTGGACCCACAACAGTTGGTTTGGAGATGGGAGATCTAAAGGCAGATCGTGTGAAGGGACACGTGGCGGGCCGCGAGATGAGTTACAGATGCTTTGGACGGTGTCGTTTTCGGGAATCACGAGGTGAGGCGCCACCGCGCGCGCCCGCTCTCTACTCGACCAGTAAGGAGTGGGGGTCGGTGATTTCTGGGAGAAGACGAAAGTACCCCTCATGTAATTTTGTTTTTTTTTTTTTTTTCCGAATTCGTCCTGAGGATGCGCCACGTCAGCAATAAAATAACTTTGCCGGCTGGCATCCCTCTAACATCCATGTTCGGATCGGGTCACATTTGGTTGGATCTGCTTAAAAATGGAATTGACATTTTTTTTTATATATTTTAGATAATAATTCAGTGTCTTAATCCAATGCTGGATGTTAAGCAAGTGTAGGTTTATAAATTAAATTTAAGATTTGAATCTTAAAATTAGTATTTATGAAAATTGATTTTATTAAATATATTAGATTAATAAGAAAGTATATTTTTAGGATTATTTGAAAAAATATCTGAATACATTTTGATTGCATATAAAAAATAATATTATATATTTTAAATTGTATTAAATTATAAAATATTAATTATTATATTATGGATCCTCCATTATTTTGGAGCTTTCTCTTAATTCAATAATTAAAATTTTGCAATTTAAATTACAAAATACTTTTTTTTTTGTTTAGTTAATACTAAAACAATTTAATCCCCTTATAACAAAAACTCAAGATAAACAGATGAAACAAATTAATTAGAAGTTTTAAACAAATTACTATGTAAAATTTTGAAATGAATTGAAGAAGTTGATATTAATTAAAATTTCCTTTATTATTATTACTCGTGTTGCACATGTTATGAGTGCCAAACATGAACGTAAGACTGTCCAGAAAATGCCTAATTTGGGAAATAAATTATTCCCCTCTTCCTAATCGAGTTAATATTATCTTTGAATTATGAGAATTTTATGGCAACCTAGCCAGTTCATATCACAAAAGCAGCCAACTTTACCCACATGGGTAGTTCCGATCGCACATGAATTATCAACCAACTCCCACTTCATAGATGTAAGTAGAATTAGAACCTTCAACCCAATGTAAAGAAATAAAAAAAAAAAAAAAAATCTAGTACCCTATGTATAAACATTACAAAAGGGGCAGTAATTAGTATGGACAATGATTGGTATGCGTTCCGATTCAACACACTGTATGACACACTTATTAAAAAATTAATATTTTTTAGTCTAAAATTAAAAACAAACAAGTTTAATAATATAATTATGCATATAGGATGTAAGAATTGAATGAATTGATTATATTTATATTATATTTTTAATAACTAAACCGATAATATGTTAAAAAATATGTTAAATCGAGGGTGTACTAATCATTTTTCAATTATCACATATACACTTCATTAATTAGAAGTTCAAAACAAATTACTATGTAAAATTTTGAAATGAATTGAAGAAGTTGATATTAATTAAAATTTCCTTTATTGTTATTATTATTATTATTATTAAGTTAATTCCTTCGTGTTGCCAAACTACATGAACGTGAGACTGTCCAGAAAATGCCGAATTTGGGAAATAAATTATTCCCCTCTTCCTAATATCGAGTTAATATTATCTTTGAATTATGAGAATTTGATGGCAACCTAACCAGTCCATACCACAAAAGCAGCCAACTTTACCCACATTGGTTGTTCCCATGGCACATGAATTATCAACCAACTTCCACTTCATAGAT